CTTAAAGAACGGTTTCCAATGTGTAGTGAAGTATTTTTTTTCCATTATTGTGTGCACTTGCAACTTGTTTCTTATTTGGTTTATGCTATTTTTGAATAGTAAGGGGGACACTACTTGGGGTGATATATAGCAGCACTTGGTTGTATAGCACCTTAAACGCTAATATAGCAGTAGATCAAATGTCATACAACTATGTTTCTGCTGTCTTTTATACTGCGTCAATCCCTTTAGCGATATTCCAGGAGAGAAGCAGATAGAGAAGAGTATCTTTCTATCCAACTGTCAATACATGAGCTAATATGGTGACAAAGAAAAAAGACTGGGTTGGACATAGATTGGTGAGGAAAAAAAAATATTTGCGGCTGGTTTGACTAAATCAAATTCCTTTTATTTGACACCCAAATTAATCGATCCATCCAAGATTTACCTAATTTATTCATTGAATAAGACTCTAGAGATAAATTCTGTGTGAATTGATTTGTTTGGCTGTGGATTAAAAGGATTTTGATTCAGACGAACCTCTGGAAACAAATCTTTGCACATGTTTAGTCGGAAACCACTTGCATAAAAGCCACATTGTTATGTATAGCAGTTGAAATACAATATTTCATCCACAAAAATGCAGAAAAAGACACACAATATGTAACAACTTTATCTAGACAGTACAGTCCCCAAGTCAGATGACTTTTGGAAAAACAAGCAGAATTATAAAGTGAACAAAATATGTTATATTAGAGCATGGGTCGTCAACCTGGTCCCTACCGCCCACTAGTGGGCGTTTCAGGATTCCAGGTGGGCGGTAGGGATTTTCTAATTTTTAGAGACTTGGCGGGCACGTGCGAGACGGCGGTACCCCTGCGACCGGGTACCGCCATCACCACTTGCGGCCCCGGCCCGCGTGTCAAACCGCCGGGGCCGCATATGGAGGGGTCCAGCGGGTGGCCCATGCTGTCAGGGCCACCCAATAGATGTGGATTGTGAGGGGGCCCGGTCAGCGCTGGGCGCTTTAACAGCGCGGCCGGGCCCCCTGTGATTACATCACGGAGCTGGGAGGAAGTGACTGTACGTCACTCCTCCCAGCTAACACACAGACTGCGCAGGAGGAAGGAGGAGGGAGTCAGAGAAGGAACTCTGACTCCCATCCACCTGAGCCACCACTGGACCCCAGGGAAAGTCACCCTCCTGCACCTAAAAGGTAGGAAACAGTAGGGTGACTAAAATATTTTGTGTGTTTGTGTATGTGTCTTTGTATGTATGTCTTTTGTGTGTCTGTCTGTTATAGTGGGCTATAGTAAGTGGGATACCTAGCTCTGCCTTCCAACTGGGCATTGCCATAAGGAAGGTTAAAAAATTTAAAAGAAAAGTGGGGAAAAAAGGTGGGGAGGGGAATTGAGGAGGGAGAGGAGAAGAGCTGACGCACAGATGAGAAATCCTATTATACGCAAACAGAGAAGTCGTCTGAATATCACCGAAAGGAGACCTTCGTTTGTTCCTTACGAAAATCGGACCAGATATCAAATATTTAGTCTCGCAGCATCATCCTCAAGGATCTCATTAATCACTAGTAAAGGTAATTTCAATTTAGTTTATTGTTTTTTCATTAAACTTTATAAAGTAAAAAAACATTATAAACATGCATTAAGTAGAAATAAAAAGATAAATGTACATACATTTATTTTTTTTAAAACACCCTCCTTTCTAAAAAAATATTCTGCACTTGCGCAAAAACTGGCGGGCGGTAAGGACATTTTTTCCAATATGCATTAGTGGGTGGTAGGTAGAAAAAGGTTGACTACCACTGTATTAAAGAGAGAAAAAAAGCAAGCACAATGGATCGAACACAGTCCAGACCGACCTTACCTGCAGAATCTTACTAGTAAAATCAGCAAGACATCATATTTTAATTTTTTTGTCAACTACCTTAATAAGTTCCTGAACATTATATAAATTTATTTTTAAAGATTATCTTTTATTGGATGGTATAAAAGGAATGTATTGTCAAAAATACTTTTTTTTTTTTTTTTTAAATGCCCTTCAAGATAAAATGAAACCTGTTTTCTAAAACAGTGTACAATAACCTTGTCATCATCCACAATGCAGTGTGGATAAGGATATTTTATATCCATTACGGTAGCTTAAGCCGCACTGTCAATTACTATGTTACTGGAGGTCAGACCGCTCCTTGTGTATGTATGCATTATATTTCCTACACAATAGGGCTGCAATTTCTTCTTATCCTGGTTTGTCCTGCTTAGATAAACACTTTTGTTTTTTTAAATCCCAAAGTACTCCTCTTTATAAAGTTGGTAAGCACATTTTTCAGTATATTATCACCGTAGTTCAGAGAAAAAATAAAGGAAAACTCCAAGCATCAAAACACAACATTGTACTGTAATTGTTATGGCACAGAGTGCCCTGGCACCCAAGATGTAAGCAGGTAAACAATTTGCTGTTTTGACTTTTTACCAGGGGTCCGCCGGGTGTCACTCCCCACCTCAATGATAGTCAAAAGCAGTCCAGCACTTAGTTCAGAAGAGTTACTGAGCCTCCTAGCAAGACCTTCCAACTCTTGGTATTTAAAAGGGAAGATGCAGGGAGTGTTGGCTGGTGGAGCCCAGGTAGGAAGTCACACCATTAGCAGATAAGCCCCAGGTAAGAAGTCACACCAATATGGTGCACTCCTGCACAGGCTGCTCTTTAGTTAGGCAATTTAGGTTGCTGTCTGGGGCCTTAAGCTCACATGAGCTTTGCAGCTGCCTAACTCACCTAACTGGAGAAATTGGCCTGCAGCATGGGGCATGCAGCAGAAGACCACCTCAAGAGGTCTGCCCACGGTTAGGAGGGTTTTCATATTTCAAATAAAAAAATAAAAATGGTTACAGAAGAGAGACAGTAGTTGTTAAAGACATTTGATACATGAGTTTTTAAATTTACCTCATTTTAAGTTGATTTAACAATACAAGATTTTGCACAGTTTTTAATTGGGTATAACAAGAGAATTGATTGCACATAACTTTTAATTTGCGCGTTCTCATTTGCATCGTTTCACAGTTACTTTATGCGTTGCTCCTTATATGCCGATCTTAACCCATTGTTTTGTCTTTTAATATGAGTGGTGTAACCTCTCTTTTTAGTCATCTCATTGTGCTGAATATGAACTTGGGAGGGGGGTGGAGGGAATGAGAAACATAGGGTGGTTGGGGGAAGGGAGGAGGAGAAACATAGGGTGGTTGGGGGAGGAGGGGAGAATTATTGTATTTGTAGTTGTTGAGTTGTTGATCTCCGGGCGTAATGGTATTGTTACACCTGCTGAATCCTTTATTAGTTTCCCCACTGTTTCCCAGAACATTGTGATTCTCAAGCACGTCCACCATATGTGGTACATAGTACCCGGTGCTGATTTACACCTCCAGCACAGATTTGATTTGTCAGGGTTCATGTGTTTGAGCTGTGTGGGCACCATATACCATCGGTAGAGGATCTTCCTGGTTAGTACTATATGTGTAGTACATAGGGTAAGTGTCTTGTTTGCCAGATAAATTTTGGACCACTGTGTTTGGTCCAATGTCTTTTTAAAGTGTGACTCCCGTGCTTTAACAAAAGAGGGTATCCCAGTGTGAGGCTGTCTTTTAATGATTGCATATAGTGATGAAATGATTTTAGCGGGGGTCTTTTGTTGAGTACAAAGGTCTGTTATTTGTGGTGTTTGGGGATTTGTCGTCTTGTCTGTTTCGGTAGTCGTCATGGACATTTGCTTTATGAGCCAAGATTTTATTTGGAGGTAGGAAAGGAAGGCAGATTTGGACAATCCAAATGTAGTTTGGAGGTATAGGAATGAGTGTATATTTCGGCCATCTAGCAGCTGTTGTACCCAAGTGATCCCGCATGTGGTCCATATTGCTGCAGAGAAGGTGGGGAGAAGGATCGCGACTGCAGTTAGGGGGGTTACCGGTGATATAGAGATCCCCTCTCTGGGCTTTTTTTGGTGTATGTCCCACATAGAGAGGGTTAAGGTGGCGTGGGAGCCACATAAGTTCCGTGATTACGTGGTTGTCCGTGTATGAGGCCTCTATATCAATCCAGGTCGGCTGGGTTTTAAGATGATGTGCAGAGATTAATGGGCTTAGTTGCGATGCCATGTAGTACTTGGCTATGTTGGGTACACCTAAACCTCCATCCTTGAATGATCTGTGGAGAATTTTAGCTGCTACTCTAGGTTTCCTGTAGTTCCAAATGTAGTCACTGTAAGTCTTTTGTATGTTTTTCAGATAAATTGGTGGAAGGGAGATAGGTAAAGTGTGGAACGAATACTGTAATTTGGGAAGAGGAATCATTTTTATGGCCGCTATGCGACCTAGCCAGGATATATACTTTCCTTTCCAGGTGAATAATTGCTGTTTGATTTCTTCGGCTATCATGTCATAATTGGCTTGGAAAAGGAGTTGGGGATTGGTTGGGAAGTCTATGCCTAGAAATGTGAGACTATTATTGTCCCATTGGTATGCGTAGTTAGCTTTCAAAGTGCAAAGTGTCTTGTCTGGCAGGAAGAGGTGCATTGCTGTTGTCTTGGTTATGTTAAATTTATAATAGGAGCAGGCGCTGTATGCTAATAGGTGGGTTGTGATGTGTGGCAGTGATGTGTGTGGGTTTGTAAATGATAGCATTATGTCATCTGCAAACATCGTGATCTTATGTTCGGTTCTTCCCACTCTAATTCCCTGTACATGTGAGTCATTTCGTATGAGGTGTGCCAGAGGCTCCAGGGCTAAGATGTAGAGGGGGGAAAGGGGGCATCCCTGTCTGGTTCCATTTGTGATTGGGAACTCTGTGGATTGAAAACCACTGTTTGCTACCCTGGCACTCGGGGCGGAGTACAATGCTAATACTAGGGACATGAATCTCGGGGGAAAATGTAATTTTGCGAGGACAGCCGCGAGGAAGCTCCAGTGCAGTCGATCAAAAGCTTTTTCCGCATCAAGCGATAGAAATGCACTAGGTCTCCCCCAACATCGCGCGATATACAGGAAATTGAGTAGCTTCCTTGTTCCGTCTGCCCCCTGCCTGCCCGTAACAAACCCCACTTGATCTTCATGTATCAGGAAGGGAAGCATGTGTGATACTCTATTCGCGTAAATTTTTGCTAGGAGTTTTGTGTCCGTATTTAGTAGGGATATGGGTCTCATGTTCTGAGGTGTGGTCGGTGGTTTTCCGGGTTTCAGTATTGTTGCAATATGAGCTAGAAGCATTTCTGGTGCCATGATTCCTGTGTCTATGATGTGGTTTAATGCTTTGAGTAGGTGTGGGCCTAGGGTGTTGGAATAGGTTTTATAGTAAGTATTTGTGAATCCATCAGAGCCCAGGGATTTTCACGATGGGAGGGCCTTGATCGCTTCTTTAAGCTCTGTTAGTGTAATTGTGGCTTGTAGGGTGTCTTATTGGCTTGTAGTGTGGGGAGTGTGGTTTGCAAGAGGAATGTTTGTATCTCTTGATTTGTCGGTTGGTGCGTATTGGAGTCATTCTTGAGATTGTATAGTGATGTGTAGAACAGTGCCATGGTATTATTGATTGCTTGTGGATCAAAGATTTTTGTGCCGTCTGGAATGTTTAGATATGGGATTTTAGATTGGCATTGTTTGTGACATAGCAGAGAGGCTAAAGCTTTGCTCGCTTTATTGCCCTGACTGTACGTGTGGGTGTGGAATCTTTGTAGTGTGGACGTTGTTTTGGCTAGCAGATACCCATTGAGCTTTTTGTTGGTTTTTGTTATAGCGTTTAGTCCTGTCTCTGTTGGTTTGAGTAGTTGCTCATTTGTTTGATCTCGCAATGTCTTTAGGAGTGTGTTATATTCTTGTTGTGCTATCCGTTTAATGTAGGCAGCCTTGCTTATGGCTAGGCCTCTGAGAACCGCCTTATGTGCCTGCCACACTGTCACAGAGGAGACGTCTTGTGTGTCGTTTGTGTTGAAGAATGAGGTGATTTCTGATTGCAATGACGCTCTAAAGTCATGGTTGTTTAGTAGGTAGTCAGGTAGAAGTGGTTTTGCCCCTGTGTAGGAAGTTATCCGTTAGAGTTAGGTCAATTGGGGCATGGTCCGTCCAGATTATATCTCCTATATGGCAGTCTTTTATGGAGGGTAGAAGTGTCCGGGCCACTAATGCATGATCTATCCTCGAGTGTGTTGTGTGCATTGGGGAGAAATAGGTGTATTCTCGGTCATTGGGGTGTTTAGTTCTCCAAACGTCGTATATGTCATATTCCATAAGTAATTTGGTCAGCGCCTTGCATTTGGATGCGAGAGATGCATGTCTTTGGGTTTGTTGTGGTGCCGTCGTGTCTAGTTGGGCTTGTAATATATGGTTTAAGTCTCCGCACATCATCAAATAAGGCATTTGTGGTGTTGGTATTTTGGAGAGTACATGATGTAGGTAGTTACGTTGGTTGGAGTTCATGCCATAAATTGTAACTAATGTGTATGTCTTGTTGTTGATAGTGCAATGTAGGATAATGTATCTCCCTTGTGCATCTTTTTTAATTTGTAATAATTCGAAAGTGAGGGAGTTATGTAGAAGTATGGATACTCCTCTGGCTTTGGATGTGTGGGATGAGTGATACTGGGTAAATTATCACTCATACAATGTGTTGTGGATAGCGCCCTTAGCTAATGAGTTCATGAGGGCCCGGGGGCTCAGGTGACATGAGATGGTGCTGTGAGCCATCAGGCTCAGAATACTTGCGGGTTTTCTCCCCAGGTCAGAGGCTGGTTTTAGCGTTTGGTGGGTGACTTCATCCACTCTAGTCTGAGTCTCCTTGCTCGTGTATTGTCCGTTTCTGTATTTTTTTGCGTGTTGATGCCCCATGATCTTAGTTTCCTGAGCCATCTTCCGGTGACAAAATGGCTTTAAAGCTGCCTTCTTTGAGTGCTAATAATTTGGTGGGGAATCCCCATCTTTATCTTATGCCATTTGTTTGGAGGGCTTTGGTTACTGGAGCAAATCCTTTCCGTCGTCAGAGTGTGGCTGCGGACAGGTCGGTGAACAGATGGACTGTGGGGAAGTCTTCATGTGGCTTGCTTTTATTTCTGCTTTCATGGAGGATGTGCTCTTTAATGTGAAAATAATGTATGCGGATGAGCACGTCTCTTGGTGTAGTGTCAGGTAAGTGGCGTGGACGTGGGACCCGGTGTGCTCGACCTACTTGGAGCATATCAGGTGGTACCACTAGGCCATAGGCCCGAAGCAGGCCTCTGACATAGGCTGGTAGTTCTGCTTGTGTCACCGACTCTGGCACTCCTCTCAGCCGGAGATTGTTACTCCTCGATCGATCTTCCAGATTGGCTAGCTTATGTTCCATGAGTGTTATCTTGTCTGACATATTTTCCACATGGTCCGCCAGGTCGCAAAGTCATTTTGGATTCCATGTGTGCTGTCTTGCTGCCTAGTTCTTGGACGTCCTTGCGGAGGGAGTCCATTGAGTGTTGCCAAGCGGTAATTAGCTTGTGCGATAGAGCATCTAATGCTTTAGTGAGGTGGCTTGGAGTGAGTATGTCTTCCTTTCCCGAGGTGGTTGGTGAGAGATCTCCGTTGTCTGTGTCCTCACCGCCATCTTGGCTGGGCACCTGACATTCGCTCACGGCCTGATTTGATTTTTGGCCAAAGAAATTAAGTTTTTCCGCTTTGGAGGCATTTTTTCTTGCTTTGGGCTGCGACATCTTATGCTTTTCCCGTCTTCTGTGTGCTAGGATGGCGTCAGATTTTTAGCCCAGATGCCGGAGCTCAGGATTATGCATCCATCTCGTCCGGCGGTTAGCCACTCCCCCAGATCCCTTTTTTTTTTATAGATATATTCGACAATCTATACATTTGCTAGAAATTCTGCTATCTCGATGCATAATTTTAATTTTTTTACTTTTATTTTATCTAAAGTTGTATGTACCTTTACAAATGCATTTCAATAACTCTCAAGAGGGTTTTTTTGCACCTTTGAAGCCTATTGTCAATACTTCCACTCTTATCCATTGTTCTTGAGCACTTGTTACATTTTGCATTACAAAAGGTCAAAACACTACATTTAATAAGAAAGAATAATTTCAAAGCAACTATGTAGTACCAAAGGGAATAACATTTTATGTATTCTTTTATATAAACATTTCATACAATGTTTTTGTGCATTCTTAATAATATATGAATATTTTCTTTCATACAATGTATATATATATATATATATATGATTTTTTTTCTTTCATACAACCATTTCAGATCCTGTGTGAAATATTGTACGATCAAGGACACTGTATACTGTGAACAATAAAAATTGTGTAAATTTACATATTTTTTCCTTTTACGTTTGTCTGCAAAGCAATCTGTGCACAAAACTGCTCTTATATGTTTATATGTTTATAGACTAGCTATGCATCCCTTGCTTCAAATAAATATTTATTATGGGATGCTAATATTTTTTCAATCAAAAAGTGATTAAAGGGGTTAAAGGAATGCACTAGGGTACCATAACTTCTAGAGATCAGATACCTCTGCTTACATGTTCTCCAATCAAATAACCTGCCTCACACTCTATGATCAAATTGCTTGCAAGCAAAGAGCACTGTGTGTATACATGCGCATGCTTATAGAATAACTGCTGCACGTTTAGGAGGCAACGATTGGGTGGAGAAGCTATGCCTCTCAAAACACATATAGGCTGGTAGAAAAATGTTTGTCACTGCATAGAAGCTTTTGAGCAACTTCACATCCATAATTCAGGTGTCTTTTTGTAGGTTTGTAGTTTTCTACTTTTAGGTTGAAAAGGAGAATGGCAAGATGAGAGAACCCACGATTAATACCATTGTTTGTGGCTCCAATGGTAAGGTACATTTTTTTACATGAATTATCTTCTATAAAAGTCTGGCAAACTATTGACAGCACAGACACTTACCTGCAGCTCCTATTGACTATAATAATAATAACAAAATATTTAAACAGTATTACCCAATTTAATGGTATTCATTTTATCTACCTCAGAAGGATGAAGGGATGAGTCAACACTTCCAGGATTTCAACCTGTGACCTCCAAGGTTTGAACAAATTCTACTGATGATGCATTAACCCGCTGAGCTACCTCACTGGCCAAATAGATGTAAGTGATAAAAAAAAAAAAATGGTGGCATATTTTTTACTAAATCACAAACTACATTTTACAACATATTTCCCAACTCCTCACAATTCCTGATTTAATAAATGACACTTTTTTCCAACAGACCATTGCATGTGTTTAAATTGATGTAAGGCAAATGTTAGAAGGTTTGCCAAACATTTGTTGGACTCCTGAGAGATGTAATAGATTACACATGTATGATTACTGTTATGGTTATAGTGCCAGGAGTGTCCTAACGCTTTTCCAGTTTGAAGAGTCAAACTGTTTGGTAATGGTTTGACTTCATAACTTGGGTCTACCTCCTTTTTAGCCAGAAGGAGAGCCAAAAGATCATCCTGCTTAGGAGATTTTGTTAGCTGTCCTGACCAGAGTCCTGCAGTTCTGAGCTAGCTCATTGGCTGAGAGTGTATGCTCAATAAAGAGCGGGAACTACTGTTACCACATCTACCATACGGTGATGTAGTGGTTATGGTGCTTGAAGTGTTCATCTAATAATGCTCTTTTTAAATTCACACTTCTCTGGAAGCACCCTCTTAACTGTGTGTGTGTAAGTTATTATGAAGTAATAACCATGCATAAGCCATTTGGATATATCTGCCCTCACCAATATGATTAAGAGCTTGAACACAACTTTTCCAGCTCTGAGACAATCAGGGGGACACCCAGTGGGACCCATGTAAGTGTCAAATCATGCTAAAATGGTTCCATAGATTACACTGGGGCAGTTCCAGGGCACTAATGCTACCATAACAACTACAGTGGGACTGAGTGTTCCATTAAATTGTTTTATTAGGATATGTGGGGATGTTTTTAAAACTTCTGATTTTAAGTTGTGGAGTATTTTTTATAAACGTAAATAGTTTTATTCAACAGGTTTTATACTGCGATCTGAAACTGAATGGATCACCCTGAGGCTCATATAATGTAAATTGATTTTTTTATTCAGTGCTGTAAGGTTCATTTTAAGGAGAAGCTAAATTAAAAACACAAAAAACAAATGGTTCTACTTGCCAGGCAAACCCTTGGGTACGGTATGCCTTGGTAGAGACATTGCAATTTCTTTGTTTAATGCAGTTCAGCTCTCTGGAGTCTTTTCTAAATTGGTATGAAAACCAAAACAAAAAATTTAGACAAAAACGTACTAAAAATGCATAATCAAACATATTTATTTCTTCTAAAGGTTTTAACCTTAATAACACACTTTTCTGAATATCACTGAGCCACTTGCATTTTATGATGGAAATCTCTGAATGCACCTTGCTAATTCCGTATTTAAATCTGATGTATATTCCAGCTCTATAATAATAATAATTTATCTTTTTTTAGTAGCCACTTAGTCACACACACTGGCCAAAGTTAGCATTTATATTTGTTTGTGTTAAAAATGCAAAAAACAATTATGAACGCTAACTTTGGCCAGTGTTTGTGACTAGTGGCTACTAAAAAAGATAAATTAGTATTATTATGTGGCTACTATTATTATGTGGCTACTAAAAAACACTGAACATCCCCCATTTGCAGGGCCATCTATAATATTAATCGGATCCTGGGCAAATCATTTTCTTGGGTCCCCAGTACCCTGCCCTCTCCCCCTCCCCCCACACACCAGCCCCCACTCTCTGGCAGGCAATCACACATTTCACCATGACACAGTGGGAGAACTAAAGTAGAGAGGTACAAGACATACTTACACAAACATATACACTGACAGACATACTGATACATACACATAACCTTCTGGCATACATATATTCACTGACAGATATATTGACACACACACAGACATACTGACACATACACACACATATAAACATCCAATGTCTGACTAAGTGACAGACATACACACAAACTGACAGACATACTGACAAACAGACACATAATTGACAGACATACTGACACATTCACAAACACATACGGGGACACACAGACAGACATGTTGACACACACTAACAGACATACTGACACAAACTGACAGACATATTGACACACACAGAAACATCCACTGACTGCGTTAGTGACAGACATATACACACAGACACACATTCACATACAATCACAAATGCACAAATTACACTTTTAACCTACCTTCTGTTTCCAACCTTGAAGGGTGCTTTCCCTGGTGTCCTGAGTGGTGGCTGAGGCTGTTGTGAGTTAGGGGCTGGCTCTACCAGCCCAGCCACCCTCCTCACTGCCTCCTTGATCTCTCCTGTGCAGCTCTATGTTTTCACTTGGAGGAAGTGACGAGCAGCCGAAAAGCATGGGGCCGGTCGCGCTGTTAAAGGGATACAGCGTGCGACTGGGCTTCTGCTTACAAAAGCCCACCGGGTGGCCGTTAGTGCATGGGCCACCCAGTGGACCTTCTTAGTGTGCTGGGGGAAAAAAATAGTAGAGGGCAGCAGGGCCCCTGGGGCAGCTGCTTTGTGCCCCCCTGAGTAACTGCGCCCGGGGCAGCTGCCCTGTTTGCCCCGCGTTAAAGATGGCACTGCCCATTTGCAATACCTTGGGTTGTCTTCTTTTGCAAATGGTATACCATCATGGGGTTAATTTTCATTTCTGGGCTACCATACGCTCTCAAAGGCAACATAAATATATATACATATTTATATATTTGAAGTCTAAATGATTTATGTACCGTATATACTCGTGTATAAGTCGATCTCATGTTTAAGTCGAGTGCAGTTTTATGACCAACAATTGTGAAATATGCTATGCCTCGTGGATAAGTCGAGGGTAAAACTTGGGGCTATGAAATTCTGTGATTTTTATAATTATATACACACACTCATACAAACACACACACTGCATTATATACACACTTATACAAACACACACTCTGCATTATACACACACTCACACACTGCATTATACAGACACACTCATACACACACTCTACATTATACACACACACTCATACACACACTCTACATTATACACACACACACACACACACTCTGCATTACACACACACACACACTCATACACACTGCATTATACACACACACACAATCATACAAACAATCTGCATTATACACACACACACTCATACAAACAATCTGCATTATACACACACACACTCATACAAAAACACACTGCATTATATATACACACACACACTCATACAAACAATCTGCATTATACATACACACACTCTGCATTATACACACACACTCATACAAACAATCTGCATTATACTCACACACTCATACAAAAACACACTGCATTAT